TGCAATGTAAATTATTAATATTTTGCCTTTTATAACATAAATTATTTTTATAAATTTTGTAATTTTCTTTTCGTTTTTTAAGTAAATAATTTTTATGTAATTTATAATACTTCTTATTAGCAATACTTTTATTTTTAGATAAATTAATCTGTTTTATGAAGTACACTTTTTGAATAAACATGTTTATTTTTTTTCTTAGCATTTACAGTATCAATGAAATTTATTTTTCTTTTGATACCACGTTCAGTTGTGTTTAAATTCTCAGAAGTTGTAATATTATTGGTATCACAACTTATATTATTTTGAATTGAATGCATTTTCAGATCTTGCAACTTGGGAAAAATGTTCTATTCTATTTAATTCAAACATTTGTGCTAAATGTTTACGCATTAAATTCTGATTATATGTAATTGTATTTGGTTGAAGATCATAAAAAAGTGAAACTGCAAATGCGATTGCAAAAACATCACAATCGTAACCATTAGATTGATTTTGGACTGTTGGAAACTGTATGTTTATCAAATTGGTAAAAAGGATATAATTTCTCAAGATAAATTTTATGGTGCACATGTAATTAAATTTTAAATTTAATGAATCGTAAATATAAATCATTTTAGTATCATAATAGCTGCAAACCCAATGTCCATTTAAATTAGTTGCCATGTCGCTACAACTATGTAATATCTGAATATGTTTCTTGTCTTTAGAAACAGGTTTAATTCTATCAGGACATTGAATTTTCCATGATTCACGTGGTTCATATTCTGAAAAAATTTTTAATAATGATCCAAAATAATCTATATAAATATCCTCTAACCACTCACCTTTAAGAATTATTTGTATATAATGCGTACTTAAAGGTAAAATATTAGAAACAAAATTTGTATCAGACATTTTCTTTAAAGATTGTGCAAATTGATTATTTATTTTCATTGTAGTTGTACTTTCTGTTATATTGCAATTAATATTTGTTGATTTATTTATATGCAAATTATTTGTATGCATTAACAAACTAGAAAAATTTGTTAAAATATTATTATTATTAACAGATTGTATATTATTTGTACTTTTCTTTTCCTCTCTTTTTTCTAATCGAAATTTTCGTTGCTTCTTAGCTAATAGTTTTCTTTTTTGTACCTCTTCCAAAGAAAACAATTGCTTTGGGTCAGCAGGTCTTATAATTCGAGGAAAATGTTCTATTTTATTTGATTGAAATATTTGTGTTAAATGTTGACGCATTAAACTATGATCATACATAATTGTATTTGGTTGAAGTCCGAATAAAAGTGATACTGCAAATGCAATTGCAAAAACTCCACTATCATTTTTATTAGATTGTTCTTGAACTTTTGGAAACTGTATTGATTTTTTCTCAAAAGTGTAAAATGGATATAATTTTTCAAGATAAATCTTATGATGCACATGCAACCACTTTAAATTCAATGAATCATAAATATAAATTGTTTTCGTATTATAATAACTGCAAACCCAATGTCCGTTTATATTTGTTTTTATATCATTACAACTATACAATATTTGAATATGTTCCTGATCTTCAGAAACGGGTTCAATCGTATCAGGGCAATGGATTCTCCATGATTCACGTGGATGATATTCTGAACAATTTTTTAATAACAATCCAAAATAATCAATATGATTATTATTTAAACATTCATCTTTAAATATGATTTGCATCATGTAATTAATTAATGTTATTAATGTTATTAATTTTGAAAAAATAATAATAATAAATTAATGAACAATTCAATAACCATTAATTAATAATTTTAATTATTAATTTTTTAAATATACAAATTTAAGAATATTAATTTAATCTTAATTCTTTTATATTTAATTTATGGCAGCCGAAGACAGCACCTAAATTCGTATAAGGCAGCCGAAATACAAGCGCCAATATTTAATTTATTGCAGCCGATGTACAGCGCTGATATTTGATTTAGGGCAGCTGATATATACAGCGCCACTTAATATTTTTATCACCGTCCGCCTGCAAATGAAAATATTTACGTATTATTACAATTATTATATAAAAATATATTTTTTAGATACTATCTAAAATTCTAAAAATTTTAATTTTGCGTACAAACCAGTTGTTGCTCAATAGAACAAATAATGCTCTTTGTGAATTAATATACCAACATCAAAGTCAGGGATATTTTAAATTTCGTGCATTTTTAAAACATTGTGTTTTAAACTTAATGTGACGTGATAGCTGTTGGCACATTAATTTATAAAGATCACCACTTGTTTTAATTAATAGCGATAAACATCCGATTCGTACGCGGAATTGAAATTTTCTAAATGTTTGAATAATATTTCATATATTTTCATATAACTTACCAAAAAGTTTTAAAGTTTTTGTTTGCTGCTGCTCTGCTCTACTCTGCTCTGCTCGTATTTTTATTTTATCAATGCCTGCAATAATAATATTCACATTTAAATTATCACAAATTATATTTAAAAAATATATAACAAAATTTAACTTTGAAGTCTGCATCTGTCATATTTATATAGTTTAAAAAATCATCGACATTGAAATATTATAAAACTCAATGTGACGTGATAACTATTGGCACATTAATTTACAAAGATTACAACTAATTTTAATTAATGACGATAAACATATTTTCAATTCGTACGCGGAATTGAAATTTTCTAAACCTTTAAATAATATTTAGTATATTTTCATATAACATACCAAAAAGTTTTTAAAGTTTTTCTTTGCTGCTGCTCTGCTCTACTCTGCTCTGCTCGTATTTTTATTTATCAATGCCTGCAATAATAATATTCACAATTAAACGATCACAAATTATATAAAATTATATAAAAGTAAAATTATATAAATTTCACATTTATTATTAAATTATTAACATTATTGTCTTCTTATACTTACTGATAATTAATCTTTGCTACCGTATATTTACAACTGTTTTTATCTCTTCTTTTTCTCTTCCTTTTCTTTGCACTATTACATGTAACACGTAATGCACGCTTAACGCAACAAGATAATCATTATCGATATATATCGATATTGTTCAATTGCTTGAACAACACCACAAAAAATCAATAAATTTCATTTCCGTTGTATTTTATTTATCCATTAGGCTGTTAGCACATGAAATGCATAACAGAGCATAAACATAATATTAGACCGCTGGATCAGTGAGAATCTTATGTAAATCAGTGTGGCAATTTTATGTTAGATGCTCATTATCATTATTATTATTTAGTAATAAGTACATCATATATGTATTAATAATATATGTATAAATAAAATAAATATTAGATTAAATAATAAGATTTCATAATGTTACATTAAATCATGATACTTAATTTGATATTTAATTTACAATATTTATTATTGTACTATTGTGTTATATTTATTATTGTGATTTGATATTGATATGTACATATAATCAATATATATCGACGATGCCAGCTTTTGCTGCTTTCTAATTATCATAACAAGTTAATATCACGTCGTGTCACTGTGTCACTAATTGCTCATCAGAATGACGCAAGAACAAGACGTAAGTATATACAATATTTACATATATTTTTTATTTAAATTTACTTAAAATTCTATTATATATACATTTTTTCAATTGCAGATGCTGGATGTGGACTTGTTAGATGTGGAGTTAAATATAGACTTGTTTAAGTCTCCTCCCCATCGTCCTGCAAATCCTAGACGGATAAAAGATTTTACGGAGATCACAACCTCCGACGCTGCTCCTCCGCATGCCGCCGCTGCTCATACGCGTACCGTCGCCGCCGCTGCTCCTCCGCATATTCCCGCCGTCGCTGTTCCATCGCATGCCGTTATCGCCGCCGCCGCGCGTACCGCCTCCACCGATACCGTCGCCGCCGCCGCCGCCGTTTCTCCGCGGGCTCCACCGGCTCCACGTGACTCTGCTACGGCTACCGCTGCTCCTCCGCATGCCGCCGATATAAATCAACGTAAGTTACGTAATATATAACACTTACGTATAAAGTTTTTGTAGCTTATTTAAAATTGTTATTGCATATACTTTTATGTACTTAATATTATAATTAATATTTATTTTATTTCATAGGTTGGAGACCAAGAGGTAAAAGAAGCGGACAACGCCAAAGAGCGAAGAGATTTTTTAATTTTTTATTTAACATGTGTGATAACTATAATAATCATTATTTCGGAGGAAGAGGAAGAGGAAGAGAAAGAGGAAGAGGAAGAGGATGAAATATAAATTAATAATTGATTTATTTATTATAAATGTTAATTGTGAAAAATGTTAAAAAGTGTTACATAAATTAATTTATTAATAAATGTACTTAATATTATTTTACCTAGTTTTGATAAAAATACAAACATATATGGCTCGCAAAGACAAGAAAATCGAGAAATTCCGTTTGTGTGGAGAAAAGTCTCTAGATTGTAGTCCAATATTTCAAAACAATGATAATATTCTCGAAAAAATAAGAACGTGTTTACCGATCAAAGTAAGTTCGAGAGGTGTACGGTATTCTTTGGCACGTTTAAACTTTTAAACTTGCAATTTTATTGTACATAATATTATATTTATTTATTTATTTATTTATAAATTCATATATT